CAAGGAGACCATTTTTTTTGTTCAAGTAGACTCTGAAACTGAACCTAAAACCTGTTCCGACTGAGGTTTCCCGAGAGCCTGAAGCAAACTCCTTGTCCCGACAAAAAAAAACCCCTTTTATTAATTTGCTGTGAATTCTACTCACTCACATCCAGCAAAGTCTTTCAAAGGAGGATTTACAGTCACAGACCTTATCTGGCTTGGAGAGCTGCCAGGCCGATATCTGCAGAACTTGGCAAGGAGCCTCGGAGAGTCATGAACCAATGAAGGGGACTAAGTGTCTCCTGCAAACTCCACTCCCCTTTCGCTCCCCTTTTATTTCCTCTGGGAGGGGCCATTCATCGTCCAATAGTGGCCTTACTCCCAATCTGTTCTTTAGCCGTTCCCTTCGTCTGGCCACTCTGCGCATGTGCACACTGGGAACAGGCTCCAGTTGTTCTTCTGCCACTGATCTCTGACTCCGAAGGCAGCTGATAACTGGCATACGGCCCTGGCCCCCTCTCTGCCTCCGACGCAGAGCCCTCATCCGAGCCTTCCTCAGACTCCAAGACTGGCCCAGGTTCCTCCCCAACCTCCTCACTGTCCGAGTCTGCTGCCGGCTCCGCTGGCGGCTGGTGGGCCACACCGCCACAAGACAGCCATGCACCACGGAAGCCATGTGGCTCTTGAAGGACCTAGCTGTAGATTGGGGCTCTCCCAAAATCCTTGGAGGAGACTGATGAAAGAGGATTTGATCTCTGCACAGAGTTAGCTAGCTTGCCAGGAAGAGGAAGGCGAGCTGAACCTTCCTTCCCCTGATCTGCTGGCTTTCTACCTGCAGGAAGAAGTTACAATTCCTTTGCGCAACCTGAAAGCACACCGTCGCACCTCGCTTTTGAGCGAGAGGGTCATCGTGCCAGGTCTTCCTTTGAAACGGTGGGCTCTCTTGGCACAGGGGGGGGCTCTGTCTTGCCCCCCCCCTCTCCCCAAGGGCTGGATTTCAAAACCTGAATGCGGCAGGAGGAGGGAGGATTTGAATTCACACCAGAAGCCCCACAGCCTGGCTGTGGCTTCCCTCCAGGGCTGCTTCAGCCTGCCAGGTGGTGGGATGCCAGAAGGAGCACCTGCTCACTGAGGGAGGCACTTCCACGTGATCCAGTCCTCGTGGTTGGATCCGTGAGTTTTCCGAGGGAGTTTTATTCCCACGTGGATCCATCTCTCTCCAAGGTTGCCAATTTAATCTGAGTTATGCCCACCCACGGACGCCCGCCTGGCCTTTGCTTCCGAAATGCCAGCGGGGAATTCGTCATCCAGCTGGAGCTTCCTCCAAGGACGGCGTTGTGCTGGCTACGCGCCGCAATGGGAGCCGAGCACCGGCAGGGCAGTCCGAGGTAGACTGCCCCTGTACGCCAGGGGTCTTTCTCTTAATCCCTTATGGATTAACTCATAGGTGGCTCAGTGGCTAAGACAGTGGCTCAGCCTGGGTCAGAACAGATGGCCCACTCCTTACCTAACTCCTCCCACCAGAGTCTGAAATAAAAGTCACAAGACACAGTTTTGGGTGCCCATCCCGGCCTTTGTCTTTCGGAAGCCACTCGGACAGGCAAGTTGCTAGTCCTCTTTTTTTTTTGAGAATTTTTTATTATTTTTTTATTCTTTTACATAGCATTTTAAGTATACATTCCCATAGTTGTTACTCTTCTATACATGTATCATTCTTATACATTTATTATTTCATTTAATAGGTTATAATAAACAATTTGGGTNCTAACCACTGTGCCACCTCGGCTTTAACAAAGAAAGCCATTCCGTATGTCCAAGCAAAAAACACTATACAATTTTACAATCAAGGGAGAACGTCACTGAAAGAATATGGTTGGGGATAGGAATCAAAACAATTTAAAGTCTGGAGAAAATGTGTTCTGTATATTTTTCAATAGTGTATAGAAACAATAATCACAACATGCATAAAATGTAGTATCCCAACCATATGCATTTCAACAAGAATAGATAATTAATCATTGTCAGATCATAATGCTTTAATAACAATATATAAAAAGGTGTATGTAGGCTGAATTTTCTTTAGAGCTAAGTTGCAAAAGTATCATTAATAGCATTAAGCTGGGAGTTTGCTCTGCTAAGTTGTTTGATTTTTGGAGTGTTCTTCAAATTACTCTTTCTCACCTGTTTTCCATTCTTCTCCTACAGAGGTTAATCTGAACAGTGATAAACTATTTCTCCCATGCTAGGATTAAACGAGATATCCTCCTGTCCTCTATTTAGTAACATGCTAAAACTGTAGTTGATAAACCTAGACACTTTTCCATCCTCTCTAAGCGGTTTACAGAGTCAGCATATTGCCCCCATCAACAATCCGGGTTCTCATTTTACCCACCTCGGAAGGATGGAAGTCAACCTTGAGCCAGTGAGATTTGACTCAGCCAACCTGAGAGTTGACTCAGCCAACCTGAGTCAACCTTGAGCCGGTGAGATTTGAACAGCCAAACTCCCCAACTAGCAGTCAGCTGAAGTGGCCTGCAGTTCTGCACTCTAACCACTGCGCCACCTCGGCTCTATTTCAGGGTTTGGATGTGGTTTCTTGTGTAGAGGGCATGCCTTCCCAGGGTCTTTGCTTTTGCTCTCTTGCTGAGAGGGGTTGGGATGCCTCTAAGGAGAATCTGACTAGGAGATACTAGTTTTATGTACTACCACTAGCCATTTGTTAGTTTGGAGCTACAAGATCCACTATATGCTGGCATGAAATCAAAACTGGGATCATTCATATCCTTTGCTTGCTTTGAGACAGATAAGTCTTAGAGACTTGGATTATATCAGTTGTGTCAAATTCAATTTCAATTCAATTTATTAGGTTTATAGGCTGCCCAATCCCGGAGGACTCCGGGCGGCCTACAAAGAACAAGAAAACAAAACAAAATAAAAATAAAAAATAATTTAAAAATTCCCCAACACGCATACGTTCTGATCGGGGCTGGACTCTACATAATAAGGTCAACAGCCCCAGGTCTGCCGGAACAGCCAGGTTTTAACAGCTTTTCTGAAGGCCATGAGCGTGGGTGAGGTTGATTCCACAGGGTCGGAGCAGCCACAGAGAAGGCTCTCCTCCGAGGCCCCGTCAGCCGACACTGTCCGG